GCTTATCCATGCTTTGTATAGTCGACTTGACTCGCAGGGTATGTGTTAGGTCGTCCACTTCATCCGGGACACAGCCCACGAAGGCCTCCTTGGCCTTTGCCTCTGTGGCCAAAGCTGCACCATAATACGCCGCTGCACAAACCTGCACCGCTGCACAACCCGTGCGATGCCACCCGCGGGCATCATACGACCCGCTCAGTTCTTTGAGGTCCTCTGACTCACTGAGGATTCAACAACTCGCTTCTGCCCCGATGCGGTCATCCCAGTCCTACCAAATCACCTCCTATGACATCTGACCCAATCAAGTTCGCTTCTACACTTTTCTGCGCTCACGCCGCGAAAAAGCACCACATACACCGCACATACACCGCCCACGCACGTGAGGCATTCCACGCCCACCGCGCCGTGCCGGAGCAAAGCAAGATGATGCGAGGGCCGAGAGCATCGGCCAGGCGGCCACCGGCCAAGGTCCCCAGAATGGCCAAGGCGGCCAAAGCCTTCGGCCACGGAGCTTGCACACGGGAGCCGGCGCGCGCGCGCGCGTGCGCGAGGGCCACTCGATGGAGTTCAGGGAGCGTTCAAATATGTTTGGGGGAGAGATGTTCAAGTGCGAAGGGATGTGTTAGGGAGTGCGGAAAGAAAACTATTTGGTCAAGAAATGAGGCGAAAGGTCTATATAGTTTTGCTTGGCGATCTTTGGTTTGCCACGGGGAGTCGGTCAGAAATCCAAGCCTTAGAAATCTCAAGTGAAGAATGCACCTCAAGCAACGGAAAAGGGGTTCTGATGACCAAACATATCAATTTCCAAAAGCAAATGCTCTCCTGGCTTGCACTCGGACCACTGATGCCGAATTCTAGGGAACTGAATAATAGAACAGCCATTGACCAAAATGCAAAAGGTTCTGGGCTGGTGCTCAACATCAACGAAATGCGCAAGCCCTTCAGGGGTACTATCTAGATGCCTCGACAAAGGTCAGCAATCCCGCAGCAATTTTGCTTGTATCGCACATTATCGCACATTCCTTTCTCAAGCAACATGTCACCCCCTCATCCCAAACCTCACCCTCATCTGATCATCTCCCACCTCATTCCCTCATCCCCTCACCTCTCAAGACCTGCTCCCCCACGTCCCAAGCGCCGTCCCTCCAACCGTCCCCGGAAGCAACGAAGCCCCGGCCGTCCGGCTCGGCCATGGGCCGGCGAAGCCGCTTAGCCGTCCGGCTCCGGCGACCGCCCACCGAGGCACTGAGAAGAGCTGCCCCACTTCCGCCGGCGCGGCATCGAAGGTCTCCCGCGCCACCGCTGGCAGCAGCGAGATCCTGGGCGGACGAGGCGAGAGTGAAGTGGTGAGACGGAGGAGGAAGTCCTTCCAAGCTGCATGGATGTCGGAAAGGGAAAAAAAAAAGGGTGATAACTTCCCCCCCCCATTTGCATGTGAAACACCTTCTCATATATCGGCGGGTTTATTCATCAAGATCCTCCATTGGGCACGAAAACATGGATTTCGTCCCACCGACAATGACTGGTTACGACCGGTTACAGGGCCACCACTGTCCCTTTTTTGTGATGCTTCGTCCAAGGCGAAGAAGGCCTTACAGAGACTTGATCCATCTCTCTGCCTCTCGGGACCCTGTTGGGCTTGCCAACGGGACCCTGTTGGGCTTGCCAAAGCTCCCATCTCCAATCTCATCTACAGGGTGGACCAAGGCTTGTATGAAGCTCCACCCAAAGAAGCGAGCTTTCTTCACTTCTGGGCGGAAACCTTGGTAAAAATTCCCTACATCCTGCCACCCAAACCATTCCCTGAGATCCATCGTCGCGCTTTCGGCAGATTCAACTAGGGATCTTGCAGGCCGTCCCTGCATAGAAGGCCACGGAGATCGCCGCCAGCGCCTGGCGAAAGCGCTTATAAGTCATCGAGCACGAGGTCATTCTGAGCCCTCTTGGACGGATCCTTTTCATGCAAAGACCCGGTTGACCAAGGTGAACCCAAAGACCACACGAGCCGCAGGATCCGATCAAACCGTCCACCAAAGCAATGGTTGCAGACCGGGTCGCAACGGATTAGACCGGGTCCAACGGAACCAATGCTGACCTTGTGACCGAGTGAATCATGGGTGAATACACCAGCAGAGGTTGAAGGAGCGGGCCATAGGACCCGGAACACCTGGGAAAAAACCCCAACTGGGATAGCCGAACAGTCGGGTTCTGACCCACCTCTGCTGGCTATCCAAAGGGGGATCAATAACATATCAATACGATGAATCCTCCGTCTTCATCGCAGGTTCCAAAGCCCCAAAGGATCGGGTGCGGCCCGGGGGCCCCATGGAGGTCCTGGAACCAGGACCGATTTCGCAAGCCACGGGGGACGGTCTGGCTGCTTTCGCCCCACCACGAATAGGGACCTCCATTGTTGGACACCCCTCCACTAAGGTTCAGGTATATATATATATGTGGAGTAAAGGAAGTTTCCTTTCAGTTCCCTTAAAGACCATTCTTTCTATAGTCTTTGACTTGCAGGGTATATATAGATATCCTTTCCTGAATACATATTTCAATGTGTGCGACCGCTTCTGTTTTTTCATGCCTTGCCGGCTGGACAGCCGCCGCCCATCATCAACAAACCCAACGTCTGACACCAGCCTGTTGCTCTGGAGCTTTGAGTAACTCCTGGAAGGAGGATGTGGCCTCAGCTCAAACATCAAGCTGATCGAAGCTGTGGTAGGAGCGAGCTTGGGAATCTGGCTGAATCTCTTCGGCTGCCTGTGAAATTCTATGATACAGCTGTGTCATCCGCAAAGCAATCATGTACCCCTCTCCCTCTTCGCTCCCTTCTCTTCAACCCGCCACGCTCGCCTCTTTGGCGCCCGAGGGGTCGGTAGGTCTGCGCAGCTCGGGCAGAAAGCTATAGCCCGTGGCGCAGGTCGCTGCGCCGAAGGCCACCACGAAGAAGATGGACCGGAGCCCGAATTCGCCTCGTCGAGCGGTCGGGCGCTCCGAACTCGGAGGCGTGCGATTGGGCGAGTGGAGTTCGGAGCTGGAGCCCGGGGGCATAGATCTCGGTGGGGTCAGAACATCATAGGGGATGAGATAGGATGATATATGTACTGATAGCAGTCCACACTCAAGGAAGAAACATCCATCTTGGCTGAACTGTGAGTCTATGACAGCATTGACAGGGAGAGCCCACCTTTGGTGTCCATCGTCTTTCCTGCACATGTTGTTTCAACATGTTTCAAAACATGCCATCCAATTCTCTGAGAGAGTGGACAACCTTCCCCACTCCCCCTCCCTTGGCCTACCCAAGCCAGCCCTCTGAACCCCCCACGCCCCGCGCTGGCCGCGGACTCGCCTACCAGCCATCCACCAACAGCGGGTCCCAGAACGAAAGCGCAGGCGATGACGGCGTTTTGCACGCCCAAGAACGAGGCGCGTGTCTCAGGTCGAGCCT